TCTTAGGCTTTAAGACAAGGAAAGGTTGTCATCACCTGAGAATCCCAGGATTGCTGCAGCTCCTAACACCCATTGGTTTCAACACCCTTTTAGACTTCAGAGGCTTTAAAAACTCAAGCAGATACTATTCAGCCTGTTCTACACACCTTTAAAGTTCTGGTTCAAAACCATCTGTAAAAACTCCAATTCAGCCTCTTAAGCCACTTGGGCCTTTGAATATTCTCTCCAAGCCTTAGCTCCAGGTGGCTGCCCTTTCCCTTCATAGGGTCTTGGGTGGGACTAGAGAGGCAACAGAAGGTCCTGGATGGCACAGTCTGGAGCACTGTGGAAAGGAAGGTCAAGGAGAGAGGACATTTGTAGATTAAGCTCAGTTTGAAGCAGCCCCACTTCCATCCTATGTCTGCTGTGTCCTACACGTCACTCAGACCAGTTAAGGGAGTGTGGTTGCAAAAAAAAGGAGACTTTCAGCTTTGGAGTGTTTTCAATGACACAACATTCAGAACAAACCTCCTGTTCCCTTCTCAGAAGTCTCAGCACTGAGCACTGTCAGAGCAAATTGCAAGGACCTGCTCTTAGTCACTTTAATTAGAAACTGAGATGCTCCCAGAGGAAGAGTTGTTAAGAGCTAAATCACCTTTCAGAAATTGCTATTCTTCTCCACTCCCCACAGGAGTCCAGAGATCCTGTGGCTCCCTCAGCTCTGGAAAGCAGTACTCAGGCCCAGAGTTTCTTAATTTTCTTTCCCCAGACCATTTTCTCTCCAACAACACTGCATGCTTGGCATTCTTTCCTAGAAAAACACAGTGTTTAACTGCAGTGCCTGATGAGTTTGATCACTAGCTGTCTCAATAAAATATGCAAATCCACAGTCAATTCAATGCAAAGCACCCTTAAATAAAAATGGTGAGATAAATGCAATCAAGTTACAATTACTTTTTTTAAGAGAGCACATTACACACACTCAGTAAGTAAGATTAGTTCTAAACCTGCCTGCACATAACTGAAAAGCAGAGTGGAACAGGGTGCTGAGTAGAGTCATGACATTACAGTCAGGTTCATTTTCCAAGAGCTTCAACTACTGCACACATTACTCTTTGCACTTCTACTTCTTTTATCATGATTCAGTGCTCAGGTCAAGGAGAATTATAACTTTTCTTCGGACCAGGGTTTGATAGCTGAGCATTTCTCATTAAATTATTCCAAGTTAAAAGTATCATTTTTTATTCATCCCTTCTCTATAAAGATGATAAAGTGTGATAGCTGAGATACTGATCCCTGCTGACGAGCAGGGCTGGGGGGTCATAATTCACCTGAGGTGAAACCCTCTGAATGATGGTGCTCCTGCCCTTCTGTGCAGGCAGTGGGAACAACTCTGGGCTGTGGGGACGTCCCTGCAGAACATTTATTGCAAGATAAAGGTTGGATAATAGTTCTGGTTTTGGAGGGCAAGTTGGCTTTTCCTGTTTTCTCTTTTCCTGGTGCAATTTCTGTTGTTAGAAATTGTGTTTGAAACCAGTGTTCTCTCTGAATTGAAGAAAGTGAAATGAAGGTCCTTTTTTTTTTTTTTTGGCATGTTATTACAAATACAACAAACAGGTGTGAATTAGCTCTAGGCCAAACTTTGACCTGTTTTCTCAGGTAAAAATCTTAGAACTAGGTCAATGGGAGTATTTTATGTGGGTTTATGTTTACTTTGGGTGTGATTATAAGGTTATCTGTCCCATCTCTCTGGGTTGTCCTTTATAATAACATACCAGAAGAGAAAAGGTTTTCTAGGAAAAAAAGAGTAAAGTATCAAGAGCTGTACTTGGACATCAGACAAAATACAGGCAGGTTCCTCACTGTTGAAAAGTATAGATATTTCTGAGTTGTTTCCAGTACTGACCTTTAAATATAACAATAAATAAATGGTTGCCAAATATCTTACCCTACATGGTTTTTTAACATCAGAAAAGTACCAGCTTGAGGCAGCTGTTGCAGTTAACTCTCCTAAAATATTTAGGCATGTGCAATCCTGCTGCACCCCCTGGGTCACCACTGAGCAGCTACCAGAGCTGGAATGGTTTCCACTTGATCCCAGCAACAATTCCTTAAGCCATCACAAGCTCATTGTTTTGCTTAATATTTTAAGAGATTTAATTTAACATCCAGGAAATCCCCAGACTGTAAAAGTGTAATGTGCTTTCTGCTACTCCCAGTCCTCACTCAAAGAAGGCACAGTTCACAAGTGTCTATTTGGATGTGTAGTCCTTACTTGAACTCAGTAAGACTTGAGTGCAGGTTTAAAACATAAATGCTCCCTTGAATAGCTCAGGACACGAGCTCCAGGATAGAGAAGCACTCGTGCATATGGTTAAATATTTTATTTTAACCACGTTAGTCCTCCTGGCCTCACTGGAATTGCTGCTGAGATAATGCTGGGGACAAGGGGGTGTGTGTGTGCATGTAGATTTCCAAAATTTGGACACCACTGAAATCAATGAAATTTGTAATATTGACTTCAAAGGGGCTCCAGTTTTACCCCAGGCATTTTGCTGCTTTGGAGACCTCTGCCTCCCTGTCAGATATGTTAATGGTATATGTTATTATTTTTGTTTTCTCTTATAGTAAACTTCATGCAGTCTAGGGAATTCATTCACTTAACATGTCTCCTGCATTATTCTTGTGTCCCTCCTCTCTGTCTCCTTCTTCAACTTCAAACCATGCTGGAAGGAATTAATTTTAAGATTCATGTAGCACTTTATCTCTCAGTGGAGCCTGGGCTGACATGTTCAGTTCCTTCTAGCTTTTAGTACGTTGTTATGCTGATGCATCAAAGCTGAGGGGGAGAGGTTCTTAATTGTGAACCTCTCTTTCAACCTTGTATGGTCACAGAATTGATTTCTTAGGATTGGTTTAAATTTTAATGTAACTTCCGAAAATTCGCTGTAAAATTTGTTTGAAACTCTTCAGTACTGGCCTTCTGCTCCAGATCAGTGAAAAAGGGATGAATTAAAATGATAGATGCACATGTACATGTTAGTTCCACAAGAACAGCTACGTTGAGAACTTCTGTGTCCTGGCACTTCAGGTATTTTGGGTTTCTGATACCCCTTTGTTTCACAAGGTTCTTTCTGATTCCTTTACTCTCTTCTTACCTGTTACTGAAGGCAATGTATCTGCTCCACTTTGTCTCCTGGCATTGTTCCCTCTCATCGTTCGCTGCAGCACTTTCCAACTTTAGTGGTATTTTTTTAGAGTAACATGAACTTTTCACTGGCTGAAGGTCAAAACTGGCTTGGAGAACAGATGGAGTGTGGAAGGAGGAACCTTTGCCACCCATTGAGCATTAACACCTGCTTATGTGTTACATCTGTCCACAGCATCAGACAGGCTCCTGAAGATTTTCCTCAAGTGATTTAGGACTTGCTGTTGGGCTGAGTTCAAATGCTTTTCATGAAAGAGGTGTTGTTCTTATGCTTTTTACTCAGCTTCCACATTCTGTGGCCTTAGGATGGGGATTGACTCCCCGTGCTTGGACTCAAAAGAGGGACTGTGACTTTGTTGAGATGCTGCTGCAATGAAATTTTAAAAAAAGAAGCACAACATTGAGACAGCACCAAATGCAAAGTGCGACTGTTTTAAAGGCACAGATAGATTTAGGATTTCAGTTATTTTTATAAAATAGTGTGTTTATCCACTCTTGAACCCAACTGCACACAGCACAGCTTTCTTTGGGGGTTGCAGAGATGGTGGAATAAGAATAGTTTGTCTCCATCCCACCAAATTCAAGTGAAGGCATTTCAGCCACACAAGCAGTGGGGAAACCAATGACCCTTCCAGTCCTACCCTCTGTTTGTGCTCAGAGACCTGTGTTTTGTCTTTCTGCAGCACCTCTCTGAAAGATGTTTACTGGGGAGTGATGTGACACTAAATCAGGAGTTATTCCTGTGTTTTTCAAGATTCTGCCCTGATTTTGGGCACCTGTATTTGGAGTAGCTGCCAACTATATTTCACTGAGAAATTATTATTCATTAAACTGCTCTAGATCAGGAAACAGACAAATGGTATTATGTAGCATGAAAAAAAGCAGGGAATAAATAGGTGGTTTGCTTGTACCAGCTGAATCTCAGGAGGATATGCAATATATTTATCCTTGTTATGATGGGTTTTAAATTAGAAACCTGCTTTTTAACTTTATGGAGCGTAATTTATTGGCCTGATCCAAGGTCTATAGACAGGAGAGTCCTGCTAACTTTCTTTAGGGCTCATGTCCTCAAGGACAAAACTCAAGAAGAGTAATTCAGTGAAATATTATGTTGTGCATATTATTCCTAAATACCACATAATGAAGTTCTAAACAGTAAAAATGGAAAATAATGCGTTCACACATTTTTTTTCTATTTCTCAGGTTAAGAATGTGCTGAGAATCCTTGTTGAAATCTAGAAGCACAAGTCAGGGGAGAACTTGTCTGTTTTTGAGAAACTAATCTTTATTTCACATGTACCCTAAATGATTTTAAGTAACTGGCTCAGACCATAAAGAACAAGCAAGATCTGATCATTAGGAGACATTTCTACCATTATTTTGGATAATGTGAAATTATGACTCTTTCAACCAACCTTCCTTTGTGGTTTTCTGCAGGTTGAGGAACAGCAATTCCAAACACAAGCAACGAAGGCACACCCACATGTATCCTAAATGATTTTAAGTAACCAGCTCAGAGCATAAAGAGCAAGCAAGACCTGATCATTAAGACACATTTCTAATCTTACTTCAGGTTACATGAAATTATGACTCTCAGAACATAACCAGCCTTCCTTTGTGGGTTTTCTGCAGGCTGAGGAACAGCAATTCCAAAAACATGCATCGAAGGCACATCTACATGTATCCTAAATGATTTTAAGTAGCCAGCAAGCAAGACCTGATCATTAGGAGACATTTCTACCCTTATTTCAGATAACGTGACATTATGACTCTCTTAAGCAACCTTCCTTTGTGGTTTTCTTGCAGGTTGAGGAACAGCAATTCCAAAACCATGCACCGAAGGCACACCACGCTCCGGGAGAAGGGCCGGAGACAGGCCATCCGGGGCCCAGCCTACATGTTCAACGAGAAGGGCACGAGCCTCACGGCGGAGGAGGAGCGTTTCCTCGACTCCGCGGAATATGGCAACATTCCCGTGGTGCGGAAAATGCTGGAGGAATCCAAAACCTTGAACTTCAACTGCGTGGATTACATGGGGCAGAACGCCCTCCAGCTGGCTGTGGGCAACGAGCACCTGGAGGTGACGGAGCTGCTCCTCAAGAAGGAGAACCTGGCCCGGGTGGGGGATGCCCTCCTGCTGGCCATCAGCAAGGGCTACGTGCGCATCGTGGAGGCCATCCTGAACCACCCGGCCTTCGCGCAGGGGCAGCGCCTCACGCTCAGCCCCCTGGAGCAGGAGCTCCGAGACGACGACTTCTACGCCTACGACGAAGACGGGACTCGCTTCTCCCACGACATCACCCCCATCATCCTCGCCGCCCACTGCCAGGAGTACGAGATCGTCCACATCCTGCTCCTCAAAGGCGCGCGCATCGAGAGGCCGCACGACTATTTTTGCAAGTGCAACGAATGTATCGAGAAGCAGAGGAAAGACTCCTTCAGCCACTCTCGCTCCAGAATGAACGCCTACAAAGGATTAGCCAGTGCTGCTTATTTGTCCCTTTCCAGTGAAGACCCTGTCCTTACTGCCCTAGAGCTAAGCAATGAATTGGCCAGACTAGCCAACATTGAAACTGAATTTAAGGTAATTTCCCACTGTGCCTTTTTCCTCGGGCTGAAAATGTTCAGGCTATTATTGCTTGTTTTACAGGTTTGATCGAATTTTGGGTTGCTGTTTGAGGGGGTGGGGGAGTGAGAGAGACTGGCAGAGACTACCAGATGTGTCATCTATGCATAGATTCAGATCACTGTCATTCTCCAGTTAATAAATGTTTGGAACTGAATATTGCATATTATAGCAGAAACATCCTTACTTGGAGTTTCTATGTGGCACATTGTGGTTGTTTAGAATCCCAAGTCTGCAGCAGGAATAAAACTCAGATTATTCTAAAAATGGATCTTCATTCCTTGTAAGAAAGGTAAGTCTTTTTAATTGAGCAATCTATTTTAGAGGCAGAGCTCTAGAACCTGGTTTAATGGTTAAGAATCCAGTACATTTAATTCTGTTACAAGGATAAAACATATAAATCAAACAATTTTGCTTCTTTGTATAATAATTTAAATTGCATTGCATCTTAATGGTTTGGTACTGCATCTGTATATGATGAATTTCATGAAAAAAGGGAAAGAGAAACAATCAAGAGATTGTTATGAAATTTATAATCATGCCAAACATAACAGTGGAACTTGTGGAACTCTTACAAGTTATTCAAGATTTCCATTATCATAGTGAGTTTGTAAATGTCCAATGTCATTTGAATTATTTCTCTAAGTCATTTACATGACACAAATAGCATTGTCTCTCTTTCTAAAATAAATTAGTCATTAAAAACCTCATTTTCAGTGGCTCAGTTATCAACATGAAACTGTTTTCTGACTCACGACTGTTGTGCAGCTACAATCATGACCAGTGACTCTGAGGCAATAAAGCCTAGGTTGTGAGTTACCTGGGGTAAGATTCTTGCCAGGAATACCTTATTTTTAATTTAGGAAGGTAATTGTGTGTTAAAGCATCCATTTCAGGATTTGGAGCCCTTTGCTGTAAAGGACTAGGGAAGAGATTATCCCCCTGTGCTGGGCACTGTGAGGCCACACCTCTCTTGAGACTTGGGTTCAGTTTTGGGCCCCTCACTCCAAGAAAGACATTGAGGGGCTGGAGTGAGTCCAGAGAAGGGCAACAGAGCTGGGGAAGGGGCTGGAGCAGCAGGAGCAGCTGAGGGAGCTGAGGGGGCTCAGCCTGGAGAAAAGGAGGCTCAGGGGGGACCTTCTGGCTCTGCAACTCCCTGACAGGAGGGGGGAGCCAGGGGGGGATCAGTCTCTTCTCCCAGGGAACAAGTGACAGGACAAGAGAAAACAGACTCAAGCTGTGCCAGGGGAGATTTAAATTGGATATAGGGAAAAATCTCTTCACTGAAAGGGTTGTCAAGCTCTGGAACAATCTGCCCAGGGAAGTGGCTGAGTCACCATCCCTGGAGGGATTTAAAAGACTGTGGATGGAGCAGTCTGGGACATGGTTTAGTGGAGACCTTGGTGTGAACAGTTAGACTTGATCTTAGAGGGCTTTCCCAACTTAAACAGCTCTATGTCCCTGTGCTCTCCAATTTAAAAGTAAGAAGAAAACATATTCTCAGGCTTTGCAAGACTTCAGTAACTCTCTAACAGGAAAAGAATCCCAAAGCACTGAGCTCTTTTGGCAATAAAACCGGGGCAAAACTTTGCAAAATCTTTTTACCTGTGTGTAGCAGAATTGCAACAATAGTTGAAAGGGAAGGTTTGACTTGAATTCAGTCTTAATGAAGCAACTTCAGTGAATCTGATTGCTTGAGTGAGTGTTGCTCCAGTGGGAGAATGTTGTAGGCTCACACCCATAGCTGACATTCATATCTCATTAATGTTCCAGCTTGTTTTCAGTAGAAAACTACATATTGTGAGCAGCCTCAGTGTTGCATGGCTGTCACTTCTCAGAAGTGTCTTGCTGCAGAAAAATAAGCTGATCTCTACCAGAAGCCTTCCTTTTGTTCATGGAGCTGCCAGCAGGATCTAGACTGGCAGTGGCAGGGGCATGAATCCTTCAGGAGCAAAGCAGCAAGGAAATGTTGGATAGTCTCGTGGTGGTTGTATCTCCCCAGCACCGGAAAATGGACGGCAATAAATCAATACCAGAAAAAAAACAACCAAACATTAGAAACCCTTTGCCAAATTACTGCATTTCCAGGAAGGAAGGTTTTCCAATTCCACTGCCTTATTGGAAGGTTCTGTGCAACACACACTAACCTGTGGCAGTGAAGTACCTCAGAAGTGCCCACACCACCAGTTTATTTCAAAGAGGTCGCATTCCTTTAGTATATAAATGCTTCCAGAAATAAGAGATTTCTCAAGATTCTAATGTGCTCTTGCTGTAGCAAAAAAAAACCCTCAGAGGTATGTATTTATGCAAAAATATTTGTCTTTGTTAACACCATCAGTGTGATGTGAAATAGATAAAACAATGGCCTTTTTTCATAGAGCAGGACAATTGAGAAATTATTTTGAGAAAAGAACACAATTGCTAAAAATGGGTTTAAGAAGCCCACACATGACGAATATTTATTAAATCAAACCCACTCTGGAGGGCTTTTTTGTGTTTAAAATAGTGCTTTCCTAGAATTTTTATCTTTTAATTGCTAAAGTTCCGTTATTACAATTGGCACGGAACGGATTCATAAAATTATCGCTTGGGATTATTTGAGAACATTATTTAAGAACAATATGCAGTCGCAGCAACACAGTTCTCAGGAAGTACAAAGAGTCCTTGAAGTGGAAAGACACAAGATTTTAATAATGTAGGTGGACAAATAGTAATTTAGTAACCTCTGAAGAAACTCCTGGCATGAGCTAATTAAAATATAAATGCTGTGCCTCTCCCTGCTGCTTGCTGCCCTAAATATCTTATGCAATAGCACCTTCCTGAACACCCAAATGAAAATGCATGTGCTGTGTTTTTTAGAGAACATGATTTTTTTAGGCAAGTTGCCTCTTTACATGTATGAAAGGTGAAACAAAACAGCCACTTTGAAGGAGAAAAGTTACATCAGCTGTGGTTGGCCACAGTTGGAGAGAGACTCCAGTGAAGATTTCTGGGTGAAAATCAATTTATCCATTAATTTTTTTTTTGTCAGCAGAAGCTGAATAGTTTGTTCTCACCCTAAGTTGCTGAGATTCAGCAATTGCCCTGCAGTTCTGATCAAACAGCTTTGCAAAACGTTGCAAAAAGGTTTTCTTATTAATTGGAGAAAAAAACATTGCTATGAAAGATTTGAAAGGAGTCTACAAGAAATAAATAAAGCCCTCTTTCCCAAATTAAGATGAAAAATGTGACACTGGTTGTTTCTACTGAAAATACTGTCAATGTGATTGCAACTCATGTAGAAATGGGGTGAGTAGGAAATCTCTGAGAGATGTATTCCTGACATTTCAGAAAAACAGAGAAGTAAAAGTCAGAGTCCCTGTGTGTGTTTGTAGGTCTTTGTGCCATGATATTGTTCTGCAGTGGGAGCATTCCAAGTTGAAAAAAGCAACCTCAATTAAGTGCTTTGCCATTTTTATATATCCCACTCCAAAGCTCAAAATTAGGAACCAATTCATGACTTTCTCTCTCTTTCCACTTTTCATTTTGTGTTTAAAGAGAGCACCAACCAATATCCACTGGAGAAAGGGCAATACAGACTGGGAGCTGATTTAGTCCACTGGATTATCCCTTCATCTGTATTTCCCTTGGAAAGAGGGAAAGAGAGAGCAGCCTTCCATCCTGTGTGCACTGGAGGGTTCCTAGTGACCATTCTTCTGCAGACTGCAAGAACAGCTGGGTGGGAAACTGAGGGGTGCATTTTAATTAAAAATCAAAAGTACAATTAAAACAGAAATACAGGACAAAGATAATGTGCTTTGTAGATTTCCATGAAGGGTGGAATACAGATATTAGGGTAATGATTAAAATATGAAGTTGTTTTGAGGGAGAACACATTGAATGTCATCCTGGTAGTGCCCACAGAGGAGGAATTCTCCTCTCTCTTTCTCTCTCTTTTACTCAAATAGAAAAAAATAATCTGTGTACACTCCAATTTCTTTCAAACCTGGCAGACCCTGGGCCTGAGTCATAAAGCAAATAATCCTTCTGTCATGTACCAGTGGGTTCTGTTTGTTTTGCTCATATAAATAAGCTTGATATCACTTCCAGTACGAATAGCACAGCCAGGATTTGTCCCTCGGAACAAGTCATCACCCCTGAGCCAGGCTGTGAGAATTGCTCTCCTCTCTGGTCCAGAGAAATCCATCTTCCCCATGTCAGCTTGGGGCGCAACCATGTGCAGATGTCTCCAGTTACCAGCTGTTCCCAGCCAGGGGACTCATTTCTAACACTGGAATATTAGAAGCACAGGCAACACAATCATTTTTATATGTCGGTCAAAACCCTTGAGGGATTGAATTTCTAGCAACCAGCCTGCAGGAAATGCAGTACCAGGCTTAATATTACAGTCCCTGTCCTGGAAATGGAGTGAAACTCAGAATAACAGCTCTGATTCCTCTTCCTAAAGCTGTGACCGTGGATTCCCATTTCTGGTGAGATCCCACTCCACTCCCAGGTCTGTTTTCCAGCCTTGCATGCTCTCAAATTAGACCCCACGCTTGTGTGTGTCAGGAAACATCCTTGTGATGAGGAAAGTCAGCCAGTTCATTCCATTCCATCCAGACAAATCAAATTAGAGACTCACAACAGAGGCTTAGAACAGATCTCACCAACCACGAGGGGTAAAAAAGATCTCAGCTCCTGTTGATTAAAATATTACTGAAGGCAGGATCCAAACCACCACCTGAAGACATAAGGGGTGTGGTCTTTGTTTTCCAATCCCACCCACACTGTCAGTTCATTTACTGCAGTGTTACATGTTTTATTTCTTTTTGCTGTCACTTTTCTTCTAACTCTTGTCCTTTCCCTAAAAGCTGTTGGGATCCAAAAGCAGGTCCCAGCTGAGAGCCTCTGTTGGCAGGTGACCATCACACTCAGGTGAGTCTCAGATCCCTAAATTCTCATGATGCTGAATTAGT